AAAAATTTTTGAAGCGAAATACCCAAAAAGAAGTTTGTAAAAAATGAATCCGCCTCAACAATATAGAACTTATCTAAAAAATTGAAGTTGAACAAACACATTAATCTTATAAGCAATACAAGAAAGTGTCCCCAACGATAAAGCGCTCGACGGAGTTTTGTAATAATAAAAATCAACATTAGAGAGCTAAATGTTCTAAACAGCAGTAGCTAATGGTAGCATTGTCACTGATTTTTTCATAATTTTTTTGCTTTCTGTTTTGGACCATTGTTTTGTATTGTGGGTTTCCACAAATCTTTTGATAAAACAGCACTTGAACATTAAAAGTTGAAAATTTTCGAAAAAATTATGCCTCTAATGGTGTTTTAGTTGTTCACTCGGTTTCACTTCTTTGATTTGCTACATAATGTTTATGAAGTTCCCTATTTCGACATGTTCCATATTTGCAATTAGTTTTTAAGTCACTCTTATGCGTTAAAACTATTGAAAGCATATTATTTCTTCCATTTTTTTCCTTTTTTTTCAAGTGAGTTAATTTATATTTCCTTTCTCGAGTGAAATTGCTCAATTGAATGTTTGCTGCGTCTTATATTTTGGGTGCGGTTTGATTTTCATTTTAATGATATAATTTCGTCATAGATTTACTAAATGGGGTGCATTGAAAATGTTCGAAACTTCTCCTTCAATTTAACAAAATAATTTTCTTGAAACCAAGCATGGGTTAAAATAAGGAATGAGTTTTCCAGTTCATTCAACGGCGAAGTTTTGGATAAAATATGTCGTTATATAAACTTTTTACAATTTACAATGTATTTTTTACTATTATCGGGTGAACAATTTGAATTAAAACAGAAATATAATCCATAATAACAGTTACATTATCTTTATCAACAGGGCGAATTTTAAACGGTTAATCTTTTTGTAAAGTTTTCAATGCTTTTTGTTTTATTGAGTTTACGTTTTTGAATTTTATTGGGAAGCAAAAGCACTCTCTATCAATCTGCTATTGAAGATATGATAAAATACTGCCTGTTGAAAGTCGAAAAATTTTAGGCGAAATACCCAAGGTTTTGAAAAGTACTCTTGCGTTTCTTTTCACAACTTAAATTATACGACTTATTATTAAACTGCCATTTTTCGTTGTGGTCCCATTCCTTTGAAGTCCTGACTTTATCAATGACCTGGAAATTTCGAGGCTTCTATTAATATAGTTTCTATTGAAGGGTTTTTAGGGCAAAAGGGTTTTTAGATCAAAGTGCACTAAAATAGGTGCCACCAAACTAAATCGAACTCTTTGAAACACACGAGGACTGATTTTCTTTTGTCTCAATTATAACAGTTAACATATTTTCAGTCCTGATTTGCATTAATCTATAAGGTTTTTAGAACCATTCAAAGATAATTCGCTTTATATGTAGCACAATCATGCCTCGACTCCAGCTGCTTACCATTAAAAGCTGCCGACTTACCGGTTAACCATAAACCATATGCAACTGTTGAGTGTTCAGATATGTTCCCGCGAAGAACGCTTCAGTTGCGCCATTCTTTCATGCACCCCACCAGATTTTTTCTTGGCCTTCGATGTTGCATGTCAGAAGTTAACCGGGTTGTGCAAAAGTTACGGTATTCTAATGCGTAAGCTGAAATGATTATAAGCCATGGCATTGAGGACACCTGGTATATTAGAAATTGTACATTCCAAAAGCACCAGGCAAGGTGTCACCGACTTTTTTTGGGGGGCGAGAACCTATTACGCTGGTGTCTGAAAAGTAATCGCTTCAGCGGATAACGGAATTTGCCAAAATAAATGTTTGGAAACAGAGTTTCTTGATGTTTATCAATGAATTTTATAGGAAAGCGCATCTAGCCCCAAGGAGTTTTCTGAGGAAAATTATCAATGAATATCGGAAAACTGTTTCCACTATCTACTCTAAGGCTTATTAATTGTCTTAGCGTCGGGAAATTCGGAAAAATAGATCTCTATCAGGGGGGGGGAGGTTATGTAGAAAAAATAGTTATCTATGAAATTAGAAAAATCATCGTTGTTTTGTGCAAGGGTGGCGCAAGATTATTGCAAAATTTCATGTTTTCCGTCCCGTTTTGCATGTTTCTCGGAAGCAAAATGAGCAAGAA